CAATGCCACATGTTGCGATTACATTGATGGCCATCTGGTCCAGTATGGCGGTGTCCCTATCTGCCGACAGGGTTATGTGTTGCATGTGCGTGTGGCGCCAAAAACGTTTACCCACCCTTTTTGAAATAAAATATATGTATAAAACAAGCCCTCGAGCACTGTAATACTTTTATTTATTGCCGTAGTACCTATATACCAACGTGCAATTACCTGTAATCGTTTGAACTTATTAAAAACTTAATAATAAAACTCTATAATAACACAATTGATCCGCAAAAAGGTCTATAATTTTGTACAAAGGATAATGCGTGCACGCACGATTTTTGGAAATAGGGCCAATTATCCATAGGACTTGTATATAGAAGAAATCGCACCCGGATGATCGATACGTTTGAGTGATCATCCCCAAATCTAGACCCCGTAATAGCAATGGTAACCTAAGGGGGCAGATCGCTGGTGGAAGAGAAAATTATTTTTGTAATAAAACGTGCCAAGTAATCGAACCGAGGTGGGCCCATTGTTACCGTATCAGAGTCACGCTGTGATCTAATATAAAAACACATGTTTCCATTAATTTCATAGAATTTGTATTGTGATCGGGATTGTGAAGTCTCCGGGTGGTAAATCTACAGCGATGTTCACAAAGTTACAGAAGACTGATAAAATTACAGGTTATCTGCTTTCACTTATTGCCTGTGGAATATTATTCTTATCTATATAATAGTTGGATTATGAACCTTTGCAGCAAATAATATTATTTATCGCAGTACACACGTGTATTGAAGTTTTGACGGCTTTCGTCGCCACCTGTTGTTATAGACTTATATATAGTTATATTCAGAAAATAAATACGGCCGGTGTTGAAACAATATTTGAAGGGTCGTATCGTTTTACATGCTGCGGGCCCCCTCAGAACGTGTCGTAATCAAAAATAAAACATAAAATAAAAAACAAAATAGAAGGGGGAATCGTGCAAATGAAAATTTTAACCACTGAATATGTGATTACTGCAGACGACCGAGTACAGACGGTAGCCAGTTACTAATCATCTCATACGATTCTCTTTCCATTAATGGCGTCGGTAATTATACGTGTGGACGTTCTGACGCATATAATATATCTTATTCAATTAAAAAATCCTAACTATTATTGACTTATACACCTAATGTTACTATTTAAAAACAGGTTTCATCACTATTATGTTTGATGTTTCAGAGAACTTCATCCACAAAATGAAGACTAAGATATTTAAAATTTTAAAATTGAACAATTACGCAGTTATTTACACACAAAGATCTAATTTATTCTTATATGGTATATTATTCTTACTAAATATATTGATTAAAAAGTTTTAATGATTTAAATTTATATTTTTCATGACAACGAAGAAGTTTATTCATTTAGATATAGGTACCTAATCATTATTATTCTATAACCAAATAACAATTAATATTTTTGTTGCAATAGCTAATATTATGAAGTAATATATCCAGAGTATGTATCTGCTACCTACTATAGTAAATTTATTGCTCAGCCCAAAATAGTTATGCAATTGGAACACACAATACAATTGAGTTCATCTTCTTTACAAAAACGTACAATATTATAAAATCTTAATTTTGAGTAGTGCACGTTTGAAAATAATTGGCTACTCTACCACATAAGTCACGACGAAAAAATCGTTATTCCCACGAAAATATAGTGGACAAGGATAAAGTGTATCATTCTAGAGTTAATATCAAAAATTCCATTAATTTTGAATTTACTCTACCGCATGGTAAATTATACATTTTATATCATTATTATAGGAATATGTATGTATTTATTAGTATTATAGTACTGAAGTAGTATAATTCACCAAATGCGCATATATGTCTTGTAACTTGTAAGTAGCGGAAAACGAGATGAAACAATATTTTTATTGGCTAGGTTATTGGTTTATTACTATTGAATAACGACAGTTATCTTTTTAATAAAAGAACGAGATTCATTTTTCTGCCAGACTTATTCCAATAAGATTATTTTCTATATTTTTTTTACCATTTCGTGACATAGCGTTTAATTAGAAATAAAAATGAACGGTAGGTAACTTTTTCTTGATCACGAATCGGAGAAAGTAGGTATAATAAGAAAACAGTTCTTTTTAATCTTGTTACAAAACGTCAGTTGAACGTGGAACACGAATCGGCGGCCGTGGGGGACGTTTTGTATAGAGAAATTGCATGGTGATGCGTGATTTCGTGGGAACTGATGGTTGAAAACCGTTCATAGACGTTTGTCAGGAGTTAATACTCAAAACTATTGCCCTATTTTATTTGAGGTCATAACTTATGGGGCGGTTTAATCATAAGACACATACATATATATATGCCAAAAAGCCCCAAGCCCCCAAACCCATAACAATAATAAGTACATAAATTTGATTAACTATCTTTTAAATTAGGTACAAATTTAACTATTCAAATTTTAAAACGCAGCCATTTAATAAGTATATTATAAATAATCATTTTTTTTTATAATTATTATGAGAAAGTGACTATGAATAGAAATTTATATATTACTGAAATGTACACTGAGAGTGAGTTAAAAAAAACAATAGTCCTAATAATGATATCGTGTCATAATAATGTATGTTATCAACATTTTATGTAGTAAATATTTATTTTTTATTTTTTATTTTTTTTAACCAAGTATGGGAAAATCATACTAATATTATTATAACTAGGTTACTTTATACTATCGCAAGTCGCACCACAATTTTCCATAAATAGATGTTGTTTAGTATAAATAAATTAAAACATTTCTTAATTGTTACTGAATATCGTATTACACTAGTATAAAGCTCTGATTCAAAAAGTATGTTTCTTATGGATATAAATGGCTTTAATTTACTTCCTACAGTATACCTATGAACATTTTGGTCTATATTCATTATTACAATTTTCGTTATACGTGGTGTATACATTAAGACGCTACAAAGAAGATGAAAACAGATAGGTATAGTGTGTACCACTCTAAGTGGGTACAATCATAATAATATGTTAAACGTGTAAGATTATTATAAGTATAACAATGTTCCTCTGATTGACCGGAACTCGAAGTGTCCCAAACATTATAGATACAGTGAAATAATTACTTTATAAGCCACACAATGGCCAGTAGCGACAGGAAGTCTCATTAATTACCATAATAGCTTAATATAATTCTTATATAGTTATATTATATGAGTTGAAAGGGAATTTGAATGGCACGCGTTTTGTATTTGTCGATACAGTTAATTTGTATGTTTTCAAAATATGCAAACGTTGCAGTATAATTTATGAACAGTGAAAGACTGAAATGTTGATATAAAATTTGCCAGTCAGCGGTCGTTGAACAATAAATGTATAATGTTATTATTGTTAAAAAATCGTAAATAATAATAATTTATTTCACCTACGAGAAAATTTTTTTTATCAAGAATTTGTGATAATAACGCGTACTCGATGGGCGCATTATTTTCTTGATTTGTTTTTTGTGTGTGACGAGGAAAATTGTCTTGAAGTAAAAAAAAACTGGTTACATTTGACGACCGGATAAATATCATGCCGAATTTGGCAAACCACGCAATTCTGGTTTATATCTCATCTGTATCTGACTATATTTTTTTCATTGTCAGTTATAATTAAAACACGGGGGAGGGAATGGATTCAACAAGTCGGTCCGTTTCAAGAGCTTTATTGGAACCAGTTTTGCGCACGTGACCTAATTGAAGTAGAAAAAAATTGTGTTCAGTTCTGTAAAGGAGAGAAACCTAATTGACTTTAGATAAAAGACTATAGCATAATATAATATACATCGATTTATCAAGGTATACGCAATGGTTAACAGATTTTCATAATATTTATTATACCTATCCATGAACGTTTTAAACACAAAAACAAAATAAATGTTTAAAATATATAAATTATAAGTTTAATTATGTTATTAATACACTTATTATGTATGTCAAAATATATGTAACTTCTCAATTATTTAAGGCCTAATTCATGCCAAGGAACGTTTTAATTTAATTTGAATGAAATAGGTATAATTAAAGTAAAATCAAATATATAGGTGTTCTATTAAATAAGCATTAACATTAAGCACACATAGTTATAAAAATGTTTAGCTTTCCTATTATATCTTGAGACCTGACATGTGTTGAAGTTACAGGAATGAATATTATATAATATAATGCAATGTCAATAATTAATTCACAAATATAAATAAGACAAATACCATACACAATGTCACCATGTAAATGAATTATAAAATAAAAATTTGTTTTATTCTTTCAAAAATGATTGAAACAAACGTAAACATTTATATTTGTTGTCATGATTTTTTTTACTATATGATATACTATGTATTATAAATATATTTTATCGAAAAAGTGTATATATGTTTATAATATTAACTTTTGTACGAGATGCGAACACAAACACGCTTGTTTCTTTTTCTAATCTTTAAGATTACATAACACACTTTCATTGACACTATCGTATCGTCTATCGACTCAATATTGATATCACAAATATAACTAATTATACATAAACAATTATGTGGATCTACTCGTATAAAAAAATAGATTTCTACTGAATTTAGTATGTGTTTAAAAATAAAAGATTATTGTTTAAATTGTATACACACAATTAATTGTAAATACAACGCCACATAAACGAATTTTACTGTACTTAGCAACTTAATATTATATTAGCCATTAGCCACTGTACTAACCATCAATCGACGTTTAAAGATAGGTACGTTTGAGCTTTTCTTATCGATTTCTGAAACACTCTGATTTTAAATAGATTGCTCTATCACGGAACGTCTGCGTATATAAAATCATTACGTAAAATATAATTACGTTTAGACGTATTGCAAAATCAGTTTGAAAATCAGAGTACCTAGTGCCTACAATTTGTGTAAGGTCTATACATGTCATAATGCTATTAGTGCGAAATACAATAATGTTTTACCTTCCACTCCAATCACAGCTGTCGGACGCACGTGACGCCGTCGCCAGGGCCAGCAGGAAAAGCGGCACCAGCAGCAGAACAGTAGTCGTCGTCTCGATAATGTAGCGGGGCCGACCCGCGACACCACCGCCGCCGCCGGGCCAAAGCCGCGAAATCGCGGCGACGGTCATTTCTTCGATGGTTCACCCGCGCTTTTGTACCGATATTTGTACAGCCACATAGGTTTACGTTCGGGTTATCTACCGCCACCGCACACCACGATTCACGACGGACGAAAAATCAAAATAAATGATCAACCCAAGGTTGGTGAAAAACGATCGTAAAAATAATTATTTTAAATCGACCCGTAGATGTGAGCACTGCAGAAACACGCCGCACAGATAAAATATACGCGATCGAATTCGACGGGAAAACAGGAGATGAACAATAATGTAACGTCGCACGACGCGGTTCATACACGAGTGGATGCCATCGACAGACTGACCTCGCCAGTCGTTGAGTCGTACCCGTCGCCACTCACCGCCGCGGCCGCCGCTCTCGTTCGGTCGCGCTTATAATATTATCAGACTAAAAGAGCGCGCGCACGAGCGCGAGCTCGAATCCCCCACCCTCCACACAACCCCTTGGGGCCGCCACAGACGATTGGGTTTATTAGGACGAGCATATATATGCCGAACCGGTTTGCCGCCACAGCTTGAGGTTTGGTCCCGCGGGGTTCTACACACGTTTCACCGGACTACACTCTGCTCTCCGAGAAGCTAAAATAATAATAATAATAATAATAATATTACAAAAACGCACCCCGGCGGCGGAACTACGAAAATCGTAATCGTCCCCTCCGGCTCGAAGGTGACCCGACGACGAGCGACGGTCAGCAAAACAACCCTCCGGACAGGTTGATTTAGTGCTGTAGGTATGTACCTATATACGTATAAATATAGTGTGTGGTATTATAGGTGTATATATAGTAGTATAGTGTGTACCTTAAGGCTATAGATTCGGCAAAAGGGATCAATGGTGTTGCGGAGGGTGGTTGGATGGATTGGCTAGGTTTGGTGTATTATTACGTGACGATTCGTGGAAATAATAGCAACTAAACACTACCGTCTACGTTTACATAATATATTACATTGGGATGTATGGTGAACGTGATTAGTATGACATCATATAGAGTGGTGCTACATAATCGCATTAACAATGTTAATCTCAAGCGAAACGAATACCTAACAAGTTGCACCCCCATACAGATCGATGTCTGTCTGTTCGTTTGCGAATACTACTTTCAGCCTATCTATATGAGTAACAATGTAACATAATGTATAGCCTGAGGATTACCAAATGTGTGACATACTTTTAAGCAGCTAATTTAGACTGTTGGATTTGATGTCCTTTTTACAGTTTCAAAACTATATTTTTTTTAAATATGTCCGTTCAAAATATTGCACTTCGATTTCATGATACTTGATACTTGGTAGTACACATACATTGCTTTTAGTCTTTACTTTAGACTTTACTTTCTTATTATTTAGAATTCAATTTTCGTTTTTTCGCCATTTTAAGCGCCTTGTTATGTTTTCAATATATAGCTATAATGCTATATTCATAGGTATTTTATATGGTACCTAGGCGATCTGTCAGATCTGTGAAATATTTTTTTAAATAAATAGCATGTAGAATTCTTTATTATACAATTTACAAACTCGGTAATCATATTATTTACATAAAGTATACATAATAATTACCTAACATATTTTAAAATAAATCGAATATGCCCCCATATAGTTTAGTTATTTAAAAAAAGATTAAGTTTTGAAATTTCATATAAATATAAAATACATTGCGTCTGTAGTTGACTCCATAGGAGGGCTATGCACATTCAGAATATGTAGGTAAAATATACATATAAAAAGGTCAAAAAATGAATATAGTGTTAGATCGATGTGTTTTTATTGTATATTAATAATGAGTAATATTACTATAGGGTCGAAATTATGAATAATAAAATATTCTTTGAATAAATTATTTTAAAATTATATTACCCAACTCAATATTTCGATGGCTTTGCTTGTAATTCATCAAAATTCCAAAAATTATTTTATTTTGAATTTTGTGATATGATAAATGTTTAGGTGTATAATAATGTACCTATTAATATGTATTTATTCATTATTGACAAACATAATAATATACAAAGGTATACTATTAATACAACTTTTTTTTCTATTTAAAAATGTTGAATATGATTATAACGTCAACGTGTTAATGATTCTCAAACGTATTGACAATACATTTTGTTTTCTGCAATATTATTCAGGAGCGTCGTGGTATGTCCATTTTCTTTTAAGTCTCCTATGTAGATTGTTAGGGATGCGATGAACGGTGATTGATGACATAATAGAGGGGAGCTTAGAATGAAATTTTTAATTGATGGTTAAACAATAAATAGTATTATTTGTCATTAATTATCAGTAAATCACTTGCTCTTTCAAGGTAGATTTTAACATCTTATCTTTGGACATTGAATTATATTATATATATATATATATATATATACATATCGGCATATCGCTCAAATAATGTGGACTCTGGTGGAATGAAATATTGGAAATGTTAGGATTCTATACTTAAATTATTAAATATTTTGTAAATTAAGTATCTTTTTTTTTTTACTAAAAATTATTAACACATTTAACTATGGCTATAATGTCTACACATTCAAAATTCTTTAATTCGATTATTACTGTGAAATTAAATGCCTTATGGTATGTAAATAGCAAAAAATTACCATACATTAATTATATTATAGATATTATCTATACCAAGCTGATTCAAACTAATTAAAATGTTTAAGTCCACTTGTGGGAAGTAGTTAATTTTTTAAATTAAGGAACTCGAATATTATTAATTTGTGTTTTGTACAATTTTAATGCGCATCATTTAAATGAGTTCAACACGAATTCGTAAAACGCATTTGTAATAGTTGTCTTCAATAAAAATGTATCGCTTTCATGTAATTTTGTATTTATATAATACATATTAACGTATATCGTATACATTATTCGACATTACGTCGATTTCCGACATTATTTTTGTCGTATAGTCTATATAAGATTATGATTAAATACGATATGAGTATATAGGTATTTAGTTTCACGTTTCAATTATTTGTTGTTTTCGTTTTGTTTCTCGTTTATGAAATATATTATTTAGGAACAATAATTAATATTGAAATACCTATTTTGTATTGTAATATACAATTAAATAGAATTTTAAGCATATCTGATTGAGCTATAGTTTGTATATTCGTAGTACATAACTATTAGAAGTATACAAATTTTTGTTGATTTGTTTAATTCTTAGTAAATCTTATTATAATCGCGTAGGTTCCTATGAATTTACAAGTGCAATCCTATACAGTTTTGCTTTACTTATGTTTCCAATGTATGGTTCTAAAGACTATTAAGTGTACCTATAATAATATATACAAATTATTCCATTAATTATATTTATAAGAGAACCTTTTTGATCTTCTTGATCAAATACCAAAGGGAAGAATTTACCAAAATCACAAGAGTAACTTAGACAAATTGCAACTATAAAGAAGATTCTAATTTAATGACAAAAACTTGGTAATTACTGTATAATCATAATTATTTATTTAATCATATGTATAATAACTTTTTGGTGAGAAGCACCTAGTTGTAAACGACTTCAAGTGAAAAATATTTTGCTAAATTATTTTTTTTTAAAGGATTTAAATCATTTAAAATATTGAAAACACACTGTTAAATAAATACTAAATAATATTCTTTCGTATGAAAACAGCAATTTCATTAATTTCAATTAATTTTAAAAGTATTACAACAGTCAACCAACTTAACTATGATTATGAATAGCTATAATTTAAAAATAATAAAGTAACTTGACATGCCACACTCGTGTAAATAATTGTTTTAATTAAAACGCTCTTAAGTTTAAATGTAAAAAAAATATTTCAAAATAATCAATAATATCCTACTTTGGAATCGTTATTTAGAAATTTATTATGAATGCATGTCTTAAATAAATAATTTTTTATGCATGCGTCGATATGCACTTAAAACCATCATGAGGAGGTAATATTACGAATGTTTTAAATTACAAAAGATAAAACTCACGTTTTGGTGATTGGTAATTACAGAATAAGCAGCAAAATTGAATTTAGAAAGTTATTATTAAATCTTAGTAGGTAAGCAAAAAAATTAAACATATTAGTTTACTTTAATTAAAAATTTTATCATTATTTTAATGATATCGATAAAAAAAAAAAAATGCATATTGAAGGAATTGCTTATTATTTTTAAATAACTATAAATTATATACCTATAGAATATTTTAATGCAATATGTTAATGAGTATTTAAGTAATTGAGGTATCTATTGATTCGTTAACAGAATTATACTAATACGATTTATTTACGGGGAATACGATTTAAACTGGACTCGGTCATTAGTCAAAATTATAATTACCACATATAAAAGAAATAACTACCTACGTCGATACTGATAATTTGTAAATGTGTAATTACTTACAGCAATTTAGAACTCATACATACAATTGTAGTCCATGAGAATTTATTATTTATTTATTATATTTTAAAATTTTACGAATTTATACGTATCAAAATTGATGGAAAATCCAAATGTTATACCTATGTATAAAAATAATTTTTCAACTGATACTTTTTTTTAAACTAAATTTATTCCACAAGTAATGGGTTCTTTTGTAATATTTTTTTTGTCAGACTTAAATCAGTTTTACAACTTGTAATATTATTTATGTATACATTATTTCTTTTCTACGTTCTTAGGCTCCCAGGTCATAAACATGTTAGGAGTAGTACCTATACTTTTTCACACATCGTTCAAACCTTCCATCAAAAGCGACGGAGCCGTATAACACACCCAGCGGTACAAGTACAAAACATTTCTTCCCATAAAAGTAAATACGACATAAAATGGGAAACGATTTTTATTGTGTTCCGCTTAAAATTCCGAACAACCCTTTTGCTGGGGTCAAATCATTGTTGACCGTATGTACTATATATTAATAATACGATCACAAAAAGAACATGTTTTCGTACACAAATGCTTTGGTCACCGTGACAAATTGGGATAATCGTTTCAGAAACTAGGTCACTCGTTCCTCGTTCAGGGATATAATATACTCTCATTCGGGGCTGAAGCTGCACAAAGGGGGTGAAAGGGACAAGTATTGTACAAATATCGATACAATTGAATTTGTTTTAACGACCGATGTACCTATATGCAGCATGTATAATATGTATTATATTCTGAGTAGGTATGTACAATTCGAAAATTCTATTATTGTTGTGAATGTTGTGATATATTCCACACACAATATAAGTGCCCACTGCCCACTACCCATACCCGTCGTATATATATTGTGTGCACGGGATTCGTTCGATGAAGACGCGACTGTATATTAAATGGGTCTGAAAAAAAAATTGAATGAATTTATTTTAAACCACCCCCCTGTTACGACCGGTTGCGTGTAAATCGTCAAGAGGCCCTAGAGACCCATTACACAGTATTACACGCATGTAATATAAAATATATATATTATTATTACACGATGGTGTGTACAACAGGCAGTAGACAAAAAAAAGAACCATTAGCGTTATTATTATATAATATTATATTTCCCAAAGAAAGAAGTTTCTCACTAATTCAACAATTTCATTTCCATTTCCGCATCGCTTATGTTGTTTGTACACGTGTTTCATAATTATCGTTATTGCCTTTATTGTATCATCGTGGTCATTTGTTTTATTAACGCAAACTTTCTGAAAAATTTGGAATAAAATAACTGTCATTGCCCTGTTTACTATTACAAAATATGTCTATATTTTTAATGTTTATAAGTATTTTGGATTGTTACAAAAATATTTTTTATCATATCGTGTACAGTTAGCACATTGGGTGGAAAAAATACTGTAGTTAAATATTACGCATGTATTATAATTGGTTACTTATACAAAACATTCAGTTATAACTCATAAGTTATATCATGATTTTCCTAATGTACTATATTTATTATAATATTTTAACGTCGTTAACGATGGTTTAAAACATATTTGTACATGCAATTATTATTAAATGATCATTAAAATAGTATAATATAATGTTATTACTTAATCACCCAACCGATAACCATGTGTAATTGAATATATTCAACATTTTTTAATAATTTATAAATAATAATAACTACGAAAGGGGGACGAGGTGACCGAGTGGTCTGACGCGTCCGCTGCGACGCAGCCGATCGCGGTTCGATCCTCGGCCACCGGGCGGCATTTTTCTCTGGACAAGTCGCGGTGACCGGAGAACAAGTGCCGCCATCCCCCAACCGGGCATGGCAGAAACCTACGGGTGCCCAATAGAAATTCTGCCAAAACAAAAACACACACGTGTTCCCCCCCCCCTACAGTCCCAAAACTCTACAGTACCACACAACCTACAGCTAATGGCCTCAGTTGCCGAAGCTTAAACAAAAAAAAAAAAAAAATAACTACGAACATATATTTTTTTCTAGAACATAAAGATTTTTAATAATAATTATTTAACACACTATCTGCAAGTATCTTGACCTTTTTATGAAATATTATGAATCTAAAATATGGTTTAAATAAAATAATAAATTGCATATTGCCTATATATAGTTTTCAAATTCAATATACCCAAATTGGCAAAATGTAGGTCAAACGTCACGGTGCAATTAAAATACTGTCTGATCTATTTAACATGTAAACATAGTAGAATACCCACTGTCCTACTATAGTCTATAGAATATGTATAGTTAATTGAATTTCATAATAAACCATTATGATATGAGGGAAAATCCTCGTCAGTTGATGTTGTTGATTTCTATAAAATCAACAATGAATTCAGTAATAGTTACAGCCAATAATAACCATGCATTGTAACTGCGTAAATCGATAGACGTAAGTCGTGAGACAATAGAAATCATAGGATATAAGTACAAATATTGATACACATTAACCTATAGCCCGTAGTTACGAATCGATGATTAAAATTAATTTATGAATGATTCGATGATAGATAAATTCAAAGATAATTACTTAGTAGCTCATGACATTTTAGGTAGTTTTTTGAAACTTTTTAGTATATACCTAATATATTTTACTTACGCCTCGAATACGAATGTTTTACATTCAATTTGATTTTTTTCGTCTACTTGTGGATTCTGGTTGAAATCAGTTTCATTCAATCCCAGCATCTTCATAGCTAATCAGTAAGAAATCATTAATAATAAATCATTAACATCGAATTAACAAAAATACAATTTTAAATCCACTTAGTAGGTATTATTATTATGGTTGGGAATATAAAATATTCATATTCCGAAATATGAAATATGAAATTTAAATTTAAATTCAAGAATATGCAATTCTATTAAAGATCAGCTAGATTTAACATTTTATTTCGTTCAACAAAAATAATAAATAAATAGGTAGGTATTAGGCGTTTTACAATTTGACATTTGCAAGTCAATTATATAATCAACATTAATTACTTATAGTAACAATATTCAAACGTGTAGTATAAAAAAATTAACAAAATAGTATTTATAGGTACCTATTTTATTAGTAAATTAGTTTATAAAAAATAGTCTAGGTTTAATTAGTAATTAATTTTATTGTATGCTGTGCTCATTTATTCGCAATGAATAAGTCTATATTAATTCAAATTTGGAATAAGTGACGACTATAGTGTATATAATGATTATATTAAGCTTGACACAATAACATAAATCAAATAGCTTTATTTAAATGTTACTCTATTAACGTTTACCGTTTAGTAATATGTTTAGGGTAGATATATTGTCTGCTATATTATATACATAATTATATTTAAAGCGTGCTGATTACAATTGGGAAAATTTACTACGAGTTTGCATAGAGACTAGTCTGATTATACTATTAAGTATTAAGTACTAAACTCGCTCGCGACTATTAATAGTCACTATAGTCTATAGGCACAAGTCGCTACTACCGATTTTTCTATAGACATGTCGATCACACAAATAGCGATTTCACTCGCTAGACAGAGGAATTGCCAGTAATGACAAAAGTAGGTCGTTAAGTTTATTCGCGGTCGACCAGCGACGAGTATTCAACACTCGGCGAGTAGGCGACTTGGCCTATTGCATTGAGCGAGTTAGGTAGCGTATAGTAATATAATAATAATATAATAGTATGTACTATATAATATTATAGACCATCGACCGCGACATCGAGTTACGATTAAATTCGTTCAATCGTCTACTACCAACTTAGGTTATTTAATTATTTGATTACCTATTGTATAATATGTAAAATATATTTATTTATACACTTAATTTATATCAAATATTCGCTGCTATTTAAACTCACCACTGAAGTATTGACTTAGATCAATCGTGCCCGTATTTAAAAAATCTACACCCTTAAAAATATTCGTTAAATTATCGTTGTTGTACAGAATCGGTGGTTTGCTCCTTTGTTTTCGGAAATTTATTATGTCTTCCACTTGGTGTACAAGAAATTCTATTGGATCGTTGGGTTCGTGTATTAACAACGTACTGGTTAAATGATTCACCAAGAGAATTATATGTTTTTCGTCTAGGTATGATTCGGCCTTCATTTTACTTCTATTTTGTAAAAATGTATCATCATTCTAAATAATAAAAGGTTTGTTAATTTCACAGTTTTTGATTTTTATACAATATAACATACGATGATAACTAATACGAAAACAAAACTTAATTTATTAATTTTGTCTATATTTTAATGTGATAAATAATATAAAAATTAGACGTGGGCGTGTATTCATAGACACAATAATAACAATAATACAGCAATACAATTTGGTGTAAGTACTCATTGTTCTGAATCACATACTAAATTCTGTTAAAAAAGACCACTTATAACAATGTTTACTTCTATAATTTATAATGATTATTTAATAAATAAATATAAACTGTATGCCTGAATAATACATATTATTTAATATTAAAAAAAAATATATCAAATTACTTTTGAAACTATTATAATTTATAGCATATCCTTATTTATTAATATAAAAAATAAAAAATAAAAAACAACTATGTTAAAGTGTCGCGAGTATCTTTATCTTACTACAGTATCACAAAAAAAATTTCAAGTTCAGAAGAATCCGTTTTTACTCTTGTTATTTTTAATATTAGAGTTTACTGACCTATGGTTATAGTATTAACATTTATCAATTATAAGAATATTATCCAAGGCCTCACGTAGGATATATTTTTCATTTGTGTTGTATGTTATGAACCTTTTACAATTTAAAAAAAATTATAATGCATTAGTTAGATTGAGACAACTCATTAAACTGGCAGACGGCAGTATAGGTAAATAAATAATATGTATTATATAAATTGTAAATATAAAAAAAACTTAAAAATAAATCGTAATTTGGAATATTCGTATACCTATGTATCTATTTCTATATTATATTATAGTTTTGATGTAAATAATAATAATTGATGCCTCAGGCGACACTGTGGAATAACTCATCGAAATAGCTCATTGAAATTACACATATTATTACCTACATATAGCTATATATATTTAAAAGTTAATAATAATTTAGTGCGCATAAGATGAGATGAAATGTTATATTCTCTCATGCATGTAGTATCTACCCAATAGCACACTTTTGGTAATTTAATTGCAAATTATGTGGAGTAGCTCGAAAAAAACATGTATTTAAATGCTTATGTTATTTGTATGTGATGTATCGGACTGAAAATATAGGCCCCCTCCTCCACAAAAAAAAAATATGAGTTTAGTTTCAAAAACAATTTTGATTTTTGATACCTTTGAGACATCTGAATCATTTGAATTTACGTTATTCTTTTTTTGTTTTTGAACGGGTCTGAGACGCCAGTATATAATATGTATATTATTATTTATTATACTAGGATGGATGTACCGCAATTAAAACGATCTGCAGAGGACGACATTTTTATCTCTCTGAAAATCTCGTCCGAGACCGTCGTTTTCCAGTTTCCACACTGCGCAACTAATAATCGCCGTGACTTAACACTTATAATATGTCACTCAATAATTAGATAAATGTCGACGGTTAAAAAAATATACATACATAATGCATGTACACATAAACAAGTCGGTAAAATATAATATATTGCGCACAAGTATGTAATAATATACGATTTGTACAGGTGACTTACAATTAATACATAAATAATAATAATTATAATAATAATAATCGCATCTTTTTTATATAAATATTCAATTAATATTGTATGATGATCATACGAGTATGAAATTTAATCATCGTCGTCGTCGTCGCGTATAGGAAAATAAATACATACGCCCAGCAAAAAGTCCATCTCAAGCTTCAGATGTCCGGCGGATAAAGTTCGAGAGATTTATATAGGCAAGTGACAAGTTTCTATATAATATGTATAATGTTATATCAAAATGTGCGGTGTGAATATACAGCGAACGAAACGATAACCGCGAGTAATCCGCTATGGTACCATATTATAATAATATCTACACGACATTAAGTTTCTTCTGGTCTGCAGCAAAACAAATCGAAGTGAATATTATATTATTAATTTATGTACGTTGTAATAATAATAATATTGTCCTGGAGACGGTGGAGCTCTTGTTTATACTTTAAAATATATAATATACAGGATGATCACCAAGCATGCTCACCCACATTTTTACCTTTAAAAATGAATTTATTAAAATTCTGATTTTTGGAACTTCGAAATGTACAAAATAAGACAATTTTTCAAATACTTGAATATTTTTTTGTATTACTTAAGAAGTTAACTATTGTTCATTATACTGGGGCCATTTTTTTTTCAAATTATGAATGTTAATAGATTAATATTAACAGTTAACATTTTTAAATGACCATAGCCTCCCATCTTATAAACTCATTCCCTTGGATGGATATTTTATGCTTAGACCATATAAAGTTAAAATATAACCCAACAAGTTACATTCATAGGATACTATGATTTTTCAGAAAAATTATCCAGTGAATAATTTACAGTTGAAAAGGGGGTTCTCGTTTCAAAAACAGAAGTTTGTATATCTCCACAGTACACTTTTTAAGTAGTTCAAAAAAATTCAAACATTTGAAAATTGATAGTCTTTAAGTTATTTAAAAAATTCCAAAAAATTAATTTTGAATATGTTATTGACGAAAAAAAGAGGTTGAACATGCTTGGTGAATAACTCTGTATATATTTACAATATTATATACGTTTCACATACCATAAGCTGCGCGTATGCAATATTATTATACGTCATATTATACACACATCTTGCACAAGACGTCGTGTCTACTATTTTTTTCCCGTGTCACCAACAAATAAATTTATAGCGACTATCCATTATAATATAATTGTAGAATTAATATTATAATGATAAAATATTATGATAAACAGCGCCGGAACGGAATGCGGTGGTGGAGACAATGTTACTGCTGCAGACAATTATTCTACAAGGGCATAGTGTGAAAAAGTGTAAAAAAAAGCCAACACTAAATTTTCCCCACATTGTCGTCGCCGATATTGTGAATGTATATAGTTCTCATAACGTGCGTGGTGTATGGGAACTGTGGTTTTTGGTTGCGATTCCACCGAAGGAAATACCAATATCTAAGTATAATATAATATGTGTTATATATTGTTTATTATACAGAGTGATTTACCAAGCAAGTTCGACCCAATTTTTTTCTTTAATAAGTAATAACGAATCTATTCAAATTCTGATTTTTGAAATTTTTATATATACTTATTAAAAGATCATGTTTTTAAATTCTCGAATTCTTTTGGATTACTTAAGGATTGTCCTGGGGGCAATACAAGCTCCTGTTTTTTAAATGAGAATCCACCTTTTTTACTGTACACTTTTAAGTGGATAATTTAAATGAGTAGTTTCTCAGTTATCAAAATGTTTGTACAGAGAATAATAATCCTTAAAAATGGTTTTGAAAAAACATAAAGTTCACTACTTATTGATAGATTAATAGCAATGACTAAAATTGTCAAATTACCATAGCCCTCACATTTTTGATAAACCCATTACTATGTTATCCTTTTATCCTTAGAACACAAAGTTAAATAACTCAAAAACTACTCTTATATATTTTGATTAGATTTTCTGAAATTTTTTCCACTGAATAATTTACAGCTGAGAGGGAAATTCTCACCTGTTAAACAGACGTTTATAGAACACTTAAGTAATACAATAAATCCCAAAACATTTGAAAATATGGTTTTTAAGAATAATTAAAAGTATCAAAAATCATATTTTGAAGAACTGCATTATTGAAGAAAAAAGGGGGTAATCATGCTCGGTGAATCATCCTGTATATTATATGTTAAGTGTTCACTGAGCCACACATGTGCTCTGGGAATATTTTCCACAGGTTTTGTGCAAGAATCTAGTAAAAAAATTTTGAATTGTTTATTTAAAAATCAGTGTGTACTCCGAAGTCAATATTATTTTTCATATGAACCGACTTCTTCCATGTAGTAATCATAATATACGCGAGCCGCATAAAATGTATTTTCCAAAAGATATACTTAAGCGTATTTTGGCACACATAATATTAGTAATAACTTAATTATCTACCTATACTTGAATCACATTTCCAAATATTAAGTAGTAAGCGTATCGGCCCATTTAATTGTTTTGATAAAGTATTGAAATCATAACCAGCAGCTATCTCCTCTGATTTTTTGTTGGAATAATGCTAGGATTTTATTATTTATTAAAGACATATAATATATGTTATATATTATAATAGTATAAAACTCACTCCAATAGGCCAAACAGGGTAACGACCACTCAACAATAATAGATACATTTAACTAATTTTTTTTACCGTTTCGTTTTCGATTTACTTATAAAATATATCAAGCAGAGTTAATTGTTGTTCCATAAATAGATTATTTAACTTCAAAGCCTGCTATAGGTAATTTTTTTTGCATTTTGAAATTAAATGTATGATACTTATATAATGACCTCTAGTTCGATTTGGGTTCAACGTTCAATAGAACTAATTTGTGTGGTCATATCGAGTTGGGCATGTATGTAAGTATATTATCTGTCTTTTTACGTCGATTTTTGACGATATTCTAGTTTTTAAGCTAGTTATGAGAATGTGAATATTATATTTACCGTTTCAAAATTCGTATAACTAGTTTAATTTTTTTTATGTATAGTAACAATAAAAATATGGAAAAACACAGATAATGTTCATACCCAAGCTTAATGATGGGTTAATAACTCACTCTTATATTAAGTTAGTTTACTTTAGCTGTTACTAATATTACTACCGAATATTGGTTGAAATCAAATTGTCTATGTTGTAAATTTGACTTAGAAAACACATACGGGTGTGCATCATAGATTGCAATTAGAATATTTATCACGAACAATGGTAATTTTAATTGCATTTAATTATTTAAATTTATAATAGCTATTGAATGTAATAATAGTGTAAGATTTTAGTGACTCAAATATATGTAAATCTACATGCAAACAATAAGTTCTATGTGTGGAGAATACATGTTGTGACTAAATGTTTTATTCATCGAGGTTGTCTCAGTGCAATTTACTCAGAATATTGAGAATATCCTTATTCCTTAATAGTGATTCTCAGACTCTCAGTATAATTTGTTTTTCTAATACTCCAATGAAATAGAGGTATTTAAGAATGCACATTATTTGAATATCAGAGGTCATATTATTATAGTAACGTTTAATATTAAATATTTAATGTAATAATTAAGGTTCGGATTTGAAGGCAAATGCCTTTCTCTTATTAATCACAATAGAAAAATAATTTTTATACAAAAATGTGTTTCATTTAATTTCTTAGACGATGTATCTTTTTTTTTTTGCCTTTTTTTGCCTTTTTACTTATAAATGCCTTTTTGCCTTTTTTACCTTTAGTACTTATAAATGCCTATTTTGTGTTTAATTTTTCAGTTGATTTTATAGTTGTATACACAGCTTGCGTATTATCGCTACAAATGAGTTTTATTATTCGCAATATTAATCGATATCATCTTATCGAGTATTTGGTTAGGTTCAACAAAGTTATATCGAAGAACAAGGGATGGGAAAATATCAAAAAGATCAACCAAGTATTGATTGGAGAAACCACAAGCGATGACGATCTATCAATTTGCAATCTTAATTTAGATAATTATTTAAGTATGAAATAACCCCGATAACTTCGGTGGACGTAGAAAGATCGTTTTCGATGTACAAAAATATTTTAACCCCTAATTTTTCTGAAGACAGCTTATCACAATACATGGTAGTCAATTTTTTTTTAATACCAACTAGTTTATTTTGCATTAAATTAACTAGTATAACTCAAATAAGTTAATATTTAAAATTGTTTTAACTAATTCTTAGGACAAACCTGGTTTTAAAAAAAGGCACCTAATCTATTTATACAAAATAGCATAAACTTAATATAGTTTAGTATTCATGCTCAATTTTAATTTGTATTTTTCTCAAAATGTGTGCATTTGAAAGTGTTTAAAAAATGTTCACTATTTTATTTTGTAGTATATTTATGAATTGCCTTTTGATATAAATTAAATGCCTTTTTTTGCCTTTTTTTACATTTTAAATGCTTTTTTTATTGATTATATTGCCTTCAAATCCGAACCCTAGTAATAATATTAAATGGTCTTTTAGAAAGAATGAAGTTTATCATCGTCACATGACACATTATTTTTTCTTTAGAATAATCGTTATTCGTTATAGATAACTCTGTAGACAATAAAGTCATCGATAGACTATACCCCTAATATAATCAATCAAAATTTAAAAATTCAAATTGAATGAAAACATTATATCGTATTATCTAACAAAAGACACAAGGTAACATATTATATTATTATCTTTAGTGCAGTGTATAGTCAAACATTTAGTTTTCACTGTTTTTAACAAGTATTATAAGGTATGTTGTGTATAATTCGTCAACTAAAAATTATGAATATTGGGTAGGTGCATACACGGATGATCGAAAGTAAATATTATGTATTTTATAGCTTCATCTCAGGTATAATTCACGTGGGTAGAGTCAGATGTCCAGGAAAATGGGATAATATTATTTGTTTCAATGTTTCATCAAATATCAATAAGACTAATTAACTGTCTAAGCAAATTGTGAAGTTCTCAAATGAAGAGCAATGAAATATCAAAATATAATATACAACCGTGGAGACAAAACTAGCACACTATAATAATTAATAATGATAATAATAAATTGGTAGGTAGCTTGAAATCTATCATCAGTCGAAAGTCGTTGCTCTTTACCGTATAACAAAGTATACTGCGTGATTGATTAAATCAAATAATAATAGTTACTCGGACGTAAAATAAAGTAATTATGTTGCCGTTTATTATATGGTATAATAAATTGTATTATAATTTATATATTATGTTGTTTCATTGGAATGACAATAGAATCGCCCCTATTATACATGGCGTACACGCGTGTGTATACGATTTAGAGGGCTCATCCAAATTCCAAATAGGCTTAAACTTGAACACAATTGTTTTTATTTTTTTTTTACCCATCAAGCACATGTTCTATTATAGTATTGAGTATCTAGGTCTATAATACCAGTGGTCTTCAACTTTTTTTGACTCGTGGTCCATTGATGGTTATAATTTTTATGAGACCCATGCCATAATGGTGGATTTCATAAGTGCAAATATATCTCTATCTAATACATTTTATTTTATTTAATAACTAATAAATATTACATAAATTTTATAATATTTCTAATTGTTGGGTTTAATTTATGATTTAAAATTTTTATTTTAACTGTTCAAAGTAGATAAGTAGATGTATCGGCCAATGGTATATAGCATAATACTATAAGTTGAATATAACATAGCTACCTATACTATCATCATCATCATCAGCTTTTAAAGACCAAGCTCTGTCGTTGTAACCACTATGGCCGTCACATGCCATCCTCCTAGAGGTGAAATCCATTTACGCGGTCATCCTTCAGTTATTTGACCACTTATTTTTCGTTTCATGACGATAGTGATGAACTCGTGGTGGCATGGCACCTTAGCAGATGTCCAATAAGAATTTTTTTCTCTTTATTACGTTCATCATTGTTCTTCTCTCATGAAATTCGTCCAACACCTCTTCATTTGTCTTAGGCTCTCTCCAGCTTATTTCCGTAATTTTCCTCCACATTCACATCTCTATCGCCTTGCAGTCTACCTTTCTCATATTTTTCTATCGTCCACGTTTTACAACCATGTATTCAATATTTCAAATTTATATTTACCTATATGAATTTTTTTTTCTGTAAATTTACTCAGATGTTTATTTTATATTTGTTAGAAGAGTCCGTTTTTTCCTACGTAAGTCCTGTATACTATGTACTTTTGAATAAACCTGATAAAATAATTACTAATTTTGGCTATCAACCTAACAATCTATCGATGCTAGAACTACAAAATATAGAAGTACCAATACGAATGTACAATATATGTACATATAATACCTTTTTTAACTGCCTGCGTTCACAATATTATTATCACAATGAGTTTGATAGTTTATAGAGTCGAAATATTATAAGAAGTTTGATCGATATGATATCGGATTGATTAAAATTTTTATTACGACTGTTCCTGTCGACTAAATGTCGTGTATATAATATTATGATGACACTGGTGGTATTGCCACCAAATGGTTTGCCTCCACACGGTCATTGCTGTCGTCGAAACCACCGAGCACTTTAAAACGACACTATATATAACGATAAACGTTATGACATTATAAAATATCGTGTTTTGGGTTGTTGACAAAATATATTATAGTATATAGTTTTCACGCATTAATCAGCTTGGCGCGCGCGCGCCTGTGTATTTCGATTAGCAGCTTACGTCATTCATAAACATAAAATAATAATATTGTGATACAGGACCGTGGTGTGAACCTCCACGCTGTCATTAGTTATATCGCTAGAACAGAACTTTTGGCCCCGTCTCCCGTGGGAGCGGAACAGTTGCGTCGTCGTCGTTATTATTATTATTATCATCATCAGACTAGATTATTATTATTATTACGTGGGATCCGGTACAGGCGGCGCGGGAGAGCGGATATTTCGTGTATGTGTATATACTCGTATTAATATATATATATATATATATCAATTCGGTGGCGGCGTGTACGCAGACGACACACATCTGCAACGATTTTGGTTTAAATGAATGAAAAAATTAATAGGAGATTGCACAAGTGTAAAAAAAAACGGGTCAGTCGTCTAGTCGTAAATCTCGCGTACGTTTGCCTTTGCAATTTTACAACGTGTGACTAAAAGTGTTTAAAATTTGCAAAAGAAAAAAAAACATTTTTTCTCTTTTTTATTGTAATCCACGTGGTAATGGTAAATATATAGTATACAACGAACGGATGATAGAACCTAATATTAATATTATTCATTACTTAGTAGTTAGTGGCGCCTAGTTTGGTTTAAAAAAAGCCAGGGAAGTCTTTCTGTGGTATAGTTATCGATACTTATGACTTATCGTACATGTTTTCAGTGACGACTTGTGTAAAAGTGTACCTTGTCATTGAGTAGACCACTGTAATATGTGTGTTCAATCGTGTTGAATTTGATTGAGTTGCATTGAATTACTTACATTTTGATGACATTGATAATTGCCTGTACGAAAAACGATTCTGAATGAAAACTAATTATTTCTAAAAATATCACATAGAATAATTTTTTTGGAGGTGGTCAATCTTATTATCATTCATTATGTACACAATTTAATATCTAATTAATTGTTAACTGTAATTGACGGAATAAATGTATATTATTATTATTAACTTATAATACTGACGTGCCAAAGAATGGTCATAATGGATCCCAGTAAAAACTACAAATAGCTTAAAATAAGTTTAATATATGTTTTTAAATTTCTCTGAGCATAGAAAATGATAATATAAAAGATAGTACCTAATGTAGGTAGTAGAGAGTAGTAGAATTTCTACTTAATTTCATATTTGCAAAAGCTAATATCCCAGTACAATAATCAAACGAAATTTCCATTACAACATTTTAGTTAAATGAAAACAATTCTAACGAAATGAAGTAACGTGGTTACAGTCTTGCAGTAAAGCTTTTATTATATCTAACACAGTAACACCCCTGAATCTACTAGTACCATACAGTACCTAGATCTATGTCTATGGTTATTTTCTCATTAATATACTAACATTATAATATTATATACCTATCTAATTAATAACAAAATTCATTATTCTTTTGTGCAATTTAAATAAATTTAAATATAGCAGTATATTATTGTCACGATCCTCGATTAACGCAATACATTTTTTATTTATTTAATATATTATAAATTAATGTAATATATCATATTATGCATTTATAAATAAAATTATCAATAAACATTTTAACGTTAAAGGCCATTTAAAAAAAAAAAAACATTATAAACATTTCAACGTGTTTAGCATTATTTATTTGTCGTAAATTGACAAACGAAATCCTCTACAATATAACACTATACCTATGTAATATAGTAATAATATACGTAATAATGATGTATACTATTTTACGACATCCCGAAAGATATATTCAAGGACGTAATTCCATGTGTAGAGGATAGATAACGGCAACCCTTTTGTGACCTAATTACAGGGGTTGGCCTATAATACATTTTATATATACTTACTATACAGTGAATTGGCGTTTATTATCGTAATGATCGTTACGATAGTGTTATACAATATATAAGGTCCATCCTAAACGATTTTCGGAAAAAATAACGGTTTATAACCCACGCACGTAAACAAAATCGATCTTATAGTTGCGTATACCAGGATACATTTTAAATCTTATTGTAAGCCATTTTGATTTTGGAAATAAAATATAGATTTTTTTCAAGACTTTTTTCAAAACATACAAATTATTTTTCATGTTTACCCTATATACCTACTCAATATTTTTACCTATACCTATATACATGTGTAGTTATTATGGCATCATAATTTTACCATTATATGAACCATTTCATTAACGGTTATTGTTATTTATTTTCTAAGTCTTAATAGATAATGTTAGTGCAATACATGTACCCATACAGACTCCTGAGAAGTACGATCGTAATCCTACTAGCGGGTACAGGGGTCGCCCTACCCAACATTTTCCAATAATCGATCCCCGTTAAAAATGTTAAGTATTTGGTAATTTATACTACTATTTGTTTCGTTATATTATTATATGCAAAGCTGCATAATAATAAATTGTATAGTAATATTATTCTTTCATCGAAAAATTGTATGTTTTTCTCCTCTAATAAACAATTTACACAGCTTTTCTGTGGTTACATTATACATACGATAATTATTACGATACACCTATACATATTATTATTATTATTATTATTACAGGTAATGTGTGACTACATTATAGAATATGTATGCATACTGGCGTAGTCTACTTCAAAAACTGTTAGATAAACAACTTCTAGGTGTAAACAGTAATGATAAGTTTGAAACTGTGTGAATTATTTTAAAATGACGATACCAGATATTTTAAGCAACTAGTATTCTATACTGCTGAAAGAAAACAAAGATTAGAAACAATTATTTCTCAGGTACAAAAAAACAAAACCGCAATAGATCAAATGCTCAATTATTCAGTTGGTTCGTTCCGAATCGTTTGCTCGACTATAACACAAGACTTACTTACCTATGTATAGGCGATCTACGTTTTCAGTGGTCCACAACCAGTCGATCGTCTTTAATTGAATGAATAGAGATCGATAGCAGTACAATAAACACAATATAATATATTTTTCCACACCATTATCGGTTGATCGCCTTCACAGTTTAGATAGTACCGATAGCAGGTATACCTATGTATAATATACATATATCTTATATAAAAATAAAAATAACATCAACAATAACTTTGTACATGCGATCCGCCTCTATACCTATGTACTTCGATGCCATCAAGATATTTGTCAAAAGTCATAAAATTATAAGGCGACTTGCACCTTTATTTCTGACAATAAATCGTTTCGAAATGCATAGTCATTTTTTAATCAGGTGAAGTGATTCAATTGATTGTGTATTGATATAAGTGGTAAATTGACTTAAAATATTTCCTTGAGTAAATATGATTGTATTATAGTTCCTGCAAGTATAATGTATATATTATTATATGTAGGTACTTGCCACCTGATGCTATGGCATTTACTTATGCACATTGTGGAATACCATTATAACTTACTGTAAGATTAATTATAGTGCCAAATTGTTTTGAGAAATTATGTTATATCATTGTTTTGAATTTAAAGTTTTACAAAAATACATATAAAAAATAAACAGGGGTCGATCATATTATTAGAGACATTTCAAATGTAAAGTTATGTAGCTGTGCAGTTGTAGCCACTACCGACTAGTTTAATAAGGTTTCGGGTATCCCTGAAATATAAGTAATACATATTATTACGAGTGAGCATCAAAGCCGCAAAATATATCCTTGTGCTGATAGTTTAGCGACCTTATATATTTTTGTGGTTTGCTGCGTAGGTACACACACGTACGTATTATAAGTTGTACGTAACTTTATGATATGTATAATGTAGGTGTACGTATACATAAACATTAAATAGTAGAAATTATAAATGTAGCCGAAAGTCTATAAAAACAGTGGAGTAAACTGTACTTTTTAACGATTAGAACATAAACGGATGGTAATGGGGGTTTGGTGGTATACTGCTGTTGACAGTAATTTATATTATACTGATATTACTTATTATGACTATTTAATATACCAATAAATATTATAAGCCCGATAATTCAAAACATATCGTACCTATACCAATTGAAAAAAGTGCCGCTCACTCGGATCGATGGCCTCCTCCTGCTTTGGTCTCTCCCCCGAAAATACGTCTCTGTATCTATTACACTGTAATATG